ACACATCTTGAAAAACTTTCTCCAGACCCTCTGACGCATGTGAAAGGTAGATTCCAAGACTGTATTGGAACTACTTAGGAGATTTTGACAGATGTGTGCGTGTTCGAATTAGATTGTCTGAAGTCTAGTCTGACAGTCCATTATTTTAATGAAATCGGTCATCGATTTCGACGTGTGGCTAGAAGTATACGAAATTATGTCCTACAAGTCTTTTTCAACATCAAATTCTTAATCATTATTTAGTTAAAAGTACCAGGACATACGCTCAACTTCAATATAAAAGCTTTTTGGACCGAAGGATTCTCTTTCGCAGCATAGGTTTCACTTTGTGGATGAGGACTCTACCCCGAATTGTCTTGGGATATGGTTTCGGAGCCCAAAGCGAGTTTTTTATTTGTTTGTTTCTTGTTCAAAATATTGTGTTCTTAGGCTGCACATCGTTTAACAATCTCTTTATACAAAAATATTCTCAAGAAGGTCTAAACATGAAACAAGCTATTTAAGACTACAGTTACTATCACCTAAATAGAGCGGTTACTTGTATAATGAATCTAAATTATAAAATAATGTTGCATATACTGAATACTAACTCTTGCAAAATAGCAACACATGTTTCGCTATAAAATATGTTGCAAAAACGTTAATTAAAGTATAATTTAGCTTTTCAGTTAACATCTGTAAAATTGTTCCAAGTAGATATGGATTACTGGATTCTATAACTGATGATTGTTTTAATACGCTGGTTAAGATTATACTTTAGAAAAGTATGTTCTAATATATTGCACCTCTATACCAGTCAGCAGCTGCCATATGGTAATAGCACCATGCAGCTGTGTCTTGATTTCAGTTAAAACAAACTGTGTCTTTCATTAAACTTAACTGTTAGCCTGAAGCTTCAGTCACACTGTTCATCTTGAGGTTATAGCATTGTTCGTTTGAGAACTAAAGTACATTGTATATTTCATCAGTTATAACATTGTTACTTGAGGCTTCAGCCGTGTTGTATATTTCATCAGTTATAACATTGTTAATGTGAGGCTTCAGCTGTGTTGTATAATTCATCAGTTATAACATTGTTAGCGTGAGGCTTTAGCCAAGTTGTATGTTTCATCAGTTATAACATTGCTGCTGTGAGGCTTCAGCCGTGTTGTATATTTCATCAGTAATGACATTGTTAGCGTGAAATTTCGGACACTTGTATATCTCATCAGTTACGATATGGTTACAGTGAAGCTTCGACCAACTGTATATCTCATCAGTAATAACATTGAATACAGATCCAGCCTTTTTTTTTAAATAATTATCTCGTGAAAATTAATCTTACTTTTTGAATTTTCAGAATTTCACTTTTTTTTTAAATATGATTTATCACTATGCATTTCACACGAATCCTTAGAACTAAACTATCATTTAAGGAAATTTACACGATACGTATAAACATTTTTTTCTCTGATAAGAATCCTAAAAACAGCAATAACTTATTTATTTTCGTACGTCCTTGTTTTCATTTTTCAAACGTTTAAAGTCTATACGTCTACATTATAAAGTAATGTATGTTTGTATGTTGTGTATTTATTACATAAAAGACATCGACGCTCTTCGATTTAAAATATATTTAATGACTTACAGTAGGTATACATATACACACACACAGATATATATTATACATGGGAAATGATTAATTAATTTTTGCTGTTAGAGGGCGTAAGTATAATCCTTGTTAAGGGCGCTGCTTTTGTTTTTACACACACACACACACACACATATATATATTATACATGGGAAATGATAAATCAACTTTTGCTGTTAAAGGGCGTAATCATAATCCTTGTTAATGGCGCTGCTTTCTTTTTTACACACACATATATATATATATATATATATATATATAT